AAAAAAATATATATGAACTTACCCAAATCTCGGTAAACACATGGGTAAGAAAAAATATAAGAATCCAAAAACAATCGATGCATTTAAATTTTGAAAAGTTGCACATAATTTTTCCTAAATAATCGGATAAGGTGACTTTAAGTATCAAAGATGAACCGCATTTGTTACCAAAAATGTGGACACAATTTTGAATGTACATCCTGTCCAAATATTAGTTTTATTTTAAAATAAAAATTGCACATGGTTTTATCCAATTTACACATTTTTTTAAAAGAAAAAATTATTCAATAAGATTGGAAGAATTGGTTAAGAGTTATATAACTATTTGTTTCCTAAATTTGTATCTAATTGCACGGTTTTAAATTAATTTGTATTTAGAATTGTTTTTATAAATAACTGACACATTTTTTGCATAAGAATCTCCAAATTTGTTATAAAAGATATAGTTTCAATTTTGGTAAGAAAATAAAATATGATACCAAAAAAATGAGATACAGATTTTGCCATAAGAATCACCAAATTTGTTACCAAAAAAATTAGATTCAGATTTTGTTATTAAAGGTTCAAATGTGTTTTGACGAACTTTCCATTAATAGTAAGTCAAACATTATATTTATTTGATCAAACTTTCTATTAATGTATTTTTCCAACAACCTCTTTATATATAGATAGATATATAGATATATAGATTACCTAATTATTAGTCTTATATATTTCTAATAGATGTACATATTTTTATTAATAGTGTTATACTTTAAAAAATAATAAAGTATATCATTTAATACTATAAATCTAACTTTTAGAATTACTATAAATAAAAGCATATCATTTAATACAATAAAACATCGAATTCACTTATGACATGCTTGGTATAATAGGATGAAATTTGATAGAAATGAAATAAGTTAGATGAATTAAATGATTATCGGAGCAACTAATACAATTGTTTTTTCATTGATGTGTTTGGTATGCAAAAGAAATAAGACCTGAATGGAATGATATTATATACTATATAAACATTTATCACTAATTTATAGAAAATAATATTTATATTAATGTTATTTTCTTATTTATGATAGTAAAGAAAATAATTTATTTTTTTAAAAAATAAACTATACTCTAATAAATATATTTTTGTATTGTTACACTCATGTTATATAATATATAAGTGAACTATGTACTTATAAACATACTAACTAATACAAATTTATCATTACACAAACTACTATAAGCATATTGTAGTCGAAAATATTAAGATATTTTTAAACGATTTATAAATGCACTTTTTGTGAGTTTTATTTTTATATAATTTTTAATATATCAATTATGTTTGTTTGGATGGCATAATATGAGAATTTTTAAATATAGGATGACTAGTACAACACCCGTGTATTACACGGGTGCTTGTTAAAAAATTATTCTTAAATTTTAAAATTAATGAGAAAATTATATTATATTTAGTTTATTTTTTTACAAAAAAAAAATATATTACTATATATTTTAGAATGATATGTGTTACTTATGACTTACATGTGTTATATTATATTAGTTTTTATAACTTATATCATATAACTACTTGAAATATAAATATATTAGTTGATAAATAATTTTATTTTTCTAAAAAATATTAAAAATAATTTTATAATTGTTATAAAGATAAATATAAATTATTTTTTTATACATACAGTATGGATGTTAAATTGAAACTCATCAAAAAAGATTAATTTGATATATTACATATGTAAAACTGATAAAAAATACAAAAGATATTAACTTTTAAAATATATATACAATTCAATAGTTTTAATAAGGAATGATATTAAAATACAATTAATACATGTAACATGACCATAAATAATCAACATATTTATGGTAATCCGAACCTAATTATTTTTGGTTTGGAATTAAATTAAAATTTACCCAAGCCTAATAACGAAGCATGTAATTTTGCCACATAGGATTCCGAAGCACCAGAAGCAGCCACGTAGGCTCAGCGCATTCTGTATATAAATATATAGGGTGATAGGGTGATGATAAGCCAACATGTTTTGACCGACATCGAAACATGTTTAACACGACTTAAAATGCAAAACAAGTAGCTTTGATGACTTTTTGTACTTCGTAAATCGTGCCACAATGCTATTTGACAACCCATGTGCTGGAATTTTTACCTGTAAACAAATTCTTTAGGTCACGGAAAATAAAAATTGAATTGAATAAATTAAAAGACATTAAAATTTAAAATAAACTAATTAAATCGAAGACAAACACGTGCCATTTCTCTATTGAATTACAACAAGAACAAATCTCTCTCTCCCTCTCTCTCTCTCTCTCTCTCTCTAATAAATTTATATACATATAACTAGTATTCAACTTGTATATTTTCATAAATGTAAATAAAATATTATAAATTTTGTATGCATATAATATTAAAATTACAAGTAAGATAAATATATTATATTTTAAACATAGAGTATTATAATTTGTATTTATGCATATAATATTATAATTGTAAGTTAGGTAATGGTATTATGATTCAAAATTTGATCTTAGGTTAAAGTAAATAGTACATAATGATTTGATTGTATATGAATCACTGTATGTTGCACAGAATGTAATAAATAATATAATTTTTATGATTTTGAGAGATCATTACCACCTGATTTGCTGAAAAATAGTAAATTTACCATAACAATCATGTATGCGATTTTAAAGAATTATACTATCACATTATAACAAATTAAGTTTATGAACTCGTATTATTAAATCGATAAGACTTCGACTTTGAAAATGAAATTACTCCATCAAACTGTACTTCATCAAATAACATACTATATCACGTTATAACTTCATTTTTATCTTAGTTTTTTAATTTTAACTTTATGAACTCGGTATTATTAATTGATGAGCCTTTTTTTTTGGTACAGGGTGTTTGTAATATTTTTGTTGTATTTTTCGTTATATTTTTGTTCTTCTTTTCCCTTTATTTTTCCTCGTTTTAGGTCATTTTGTGAGTTTTTAGTTCGTTTTGTGTTTTATTATGTGTTTTGTTCCATTTTGGTTTTCTTTATGTTTTTCGTGTGTTTTTCCCGTTTTTCTTCTTGTTTTTCGTGTGCAGGTCGGAGGCATCGTGAGGTAATGACATGGATCGGGCAATCATGGTTATGTAGATGGACT